CTTGTGATTTCAGGCAAACCTTTTCTTTGATGACAGTGGGAGCTGTGACATCCAGTGAAACTGCAGATATGATCTTGGTTTAAGTTATCATCCTACATTCTTAATACTTTCTTGAAACTGGATTTGGCATCCCAGTGTGGCAATGGCCTAGTGGTATTATCACTAGACTATTAATCCGGAAATTCAGGTGATGTTCTGGGGGACCTCGGTTCAAATCCTGCCATGGCAGATGGTGGAATTTGAATTCAATGAAGATTATGGAATTAAGAGTCTAATGATGACCACAAAACCGTTGCCAATTGTTGGAAAAGCCCATCTGGCTCACTAATGCCCTTTAGGGAAGGAAATCTGTCCGATGCCTACATGTGACTCCAGACCCACAGCAATGTGGCTGACTCTAAACTGCCCTCTGGGCAATTAGGGATGGGCAATAAATGCTGGTCTAGGCAGAGACAACCACATCTCATGTGTGAGTGGCTTCACCCCAAATTCTCGTGGTTAAAGGGTATGGGAAGAGAGTGGGAACAGGAGACTGATCAGCCACGATGATATTAAATGGTGGAGCAGGCTCGAAGGGCTGAATGGCCTATTTTCCATGTTGCTATGTCTCATTTCATAGAGGACTCCTGCAGGCCACTCACTGAGATCCTTCAGTGCCAGCCCCACAGTTGCTTCAAGGAAGAGATACTTCTTTAAATATTAAAAACGGATATCTGCTTTTTCATTCCTCAAATCTGGAACCCAAAGAGCCTCTTCAGAATAAATGTGCCAACATAGTCCTTCACTGCCCTTAAACACCCAAAGGGCAATTGAAAGAGAGGCTTCCACACTAGTTCCATCTGAAACACGGCCGTGAATATATAAAGTCATGTGGGGAGGTTTAAGCAATAGATGAAGGATAAGCAAGGCCTTATGGCCCATCGCGTCCATACTGGCTAATGGATCCCGTGAAAACTTCCTGAATTGGGAACACAGGTTGAAAAAATCGGGTGTGCCAATGGACTTTTCCAATCGAACTTGGCATTTTAAAATTCTTGTCCACTGGAAGATTGGCAGACTGACCCAATGGCCAGTTCTGTGGTAGATTTATCATCAGTCTAATCATCATCACCCTCGCACCCCATGCTCCCCCCACCCCAACCCAAATACTGACTCCACATTGTTATCTCAATATTGACAGCATGTGTTAATTTAAAATGTCAAAGCAGGGTTTGAGGGTGAAGGAGGGGAGGACTGTCTTGTAGATATGTTGAGCATTAACCCATGAGTACAGTTAAGGCACTGTGACAAAACCATAGACAGCAAAAGGAATCAATCCGATTGTCCCACAACTCCAGCTGCACATAGTCAAACAACGTATTATTTCAGTTTTTACTATCCAACTGCAGTCAATGCCTTTCTTTAATTATCACAAAAGAGCTCCACTTGAGTTAAATACATTGACGAGCCAGTTACTTCCTAATTTGAGTATTGCAAAACCAACAGGCAAAATGCATTTTAAAAACCTCACTTACACCAAACTTCTATATGAATCTTACCTGTTTACAGTATGGTTCGCTAACTGCAACATCCGATTAAACTGTTTCTTCATCATTTTCAAAACTGTTCTTTTTTCTTAAATATATAAATGTGTGTGTGCTTGTGTACTTTAGCTCAGCTGTATTTGGAGCTGCTCCTTTTAGCACCCGATCCAGTTAGTGGGTGTGAGCTCAGCATTTCTGTTCCCTCCCACAAACGTTGAAAATGAAACACGCCTTAAAGCCACATTCTGATGCTTCTGAATCACTTTGTGATGGTACTGTGAAAGTTGGCATGAATCCTCTTTTCCCTAGCATTTTCTTTCCCTTCATGGTGAGCACTCCTCCATATTCGATGCACTGTCTGAGGTTTTCTGTTAATGGTTATCTCCCAACAGTGCTGCAACTTTGCATATCCTTCTCTCTGTACACTCCACATCCAAATACATTGCTTTCAAAAGTGTTGAGGTAAAGTAAGGAAGAAGGGGATTTGGGGGAATGCAAAGTGGCAGAGTTGATTGGAACATGGCAAAGACCCAGAAGACAACAATGACTTCACAACTTTTAGATTTGGGCATCCAAAGAATCTGTCACCCATTGGAGTAGGCCATTCAGCCCTCTGGATCCTGTTTCCAAACCTCAATTAGATCACTCAGCCCTGAATCCTGTATATTGGCCAGAATACCAACTGCCAGAGGAAGTGGTAGGGGTTGGTACAATTACAACATTTAAAAGGTATCTGGATGGGCACATGAATAGGAAGGGGTTAGAGGGATATGGGCCAAATGCTGGCCAATGGGACTAGATTGATTTAGGATACCTGGTTGGCATGGATGAGTTGGACCGAAGGGGCTGTTTCTGTGCTGTACAACACTACAACTCTAGTAGGTTTCTTGTGGCACAATGGTAGTGTTCTTACCTGAGAGCAAGGAGGCCTAGGCCCAAGCCTTGTCTGCCACAGAGGAATATCATAATATCTCTAAACAGATTGATTAAAATAAATACAACCCTAGGTTGTCGTGGTCTCAAGATGCATGGGCTACTCACTATCTCAACTCTCACCAGTAGTCCCTCCCTAAGGGCATTGAGGGTCAACCTACAGCACATGGACTGCAGCGGTTCAAGAAGGCAGCTCACCCCCATCTTCTCCAGGGGCAGCTAGGGATAGACAATAAATGCTAGGCCCAGCCAATGATGCCCACATCCCATGAATGAATAAAATAAATGGAATCACTTCACTGTGAGCAACTGTACCTCCAACTGTCTGCAAAATTCCAGAATTCCCTCCCTAAACACTTATATAAGAACTAGGAGCGGCAGTAGGCCATTCAGCCCCTTGGGCATGCTCTCCTATTTAATACAATCAAAGTTAATCTCATCTCAGCCTCAACTCCACTTTCCTGCCTGCTCTCCGTAACCTTTTGGCCTGTTACTAATGAAATATCCTTAAATTTACTCTCTGTCCCTGCGTCCACCACACTATGGGATAGTGAATTCCACAGATTCAGGACCCTTTGACAGAAGTCATTCCTCCTTAAATCTCTTTATCTTAAAACTGTGACTTCTCATTGCAGATTGACCCATATGAGGAAACATCCTCTCTACGTCTACTGTGCTAATCCCCTTTCACATTGTATAGACCTCAATTTTACCCCGTTCTCTTCTTTAAGATGTTCCTGTAAACCCTTCTTGTTGAACCTGTCCTAATCTTCTCAAATCGACAGGATGGTATGTTTTTACTGTGTTAGTAGTTGAGTTGGTTGTATCATTTGGTTCAGTGACTAGAGTGCCACAATGAGTAAAACCAATAGCGTGGGTCCAATCCTTGTAACACCTGCGTTAGTTTGTGGAGCCCCTAGCTCCTTAACTTACCCTGCCGTATCTGGTTACTCCCAAGTTACACATAACCAATTGCTTTTCTCTAATGTAGAGAGATGTCTCTGGTGCTTTGTGTTCTATGGTTCCTTACGTGGCACTTTGTAATCTACCTTCATTAAACAAAAGTTGTTGATTTTTTTTATTAACTAATTTTAGGGATTTCAGTCTTGACGTAAAGAGTGTTGGAGGAGACCAATCTCAGGGGCACCCAACCAATTTGGCACGGTGGCTCAGTGGTAAGCACAGCAGCCTCCCAGTACCAGGGACCCAGGTTCGATTCTAGCCTCGGGTGACTGTGTGGAGTTTGCACATTCTCCCCGTGCCTGCATAGGCTTCCCTCCAGTTGCTCCAGTTTCATCCCACAATGCAAAGTTGGGCAGGTTCGGTGGGTTGGCCATGCTAAATTGCCCTGTAGTGCCCAGGGACTTGCAGATTGAGTGGATTGGCCATGGGAAATGTACGATTACAGAGATAGGGTAGCGGGCGGGGTCAGTGCGGACTCGATGGGCCGAATGGCCTGCTTCCACACTGTGGGGATTCTATGATTCGCAAGCTGTTTGTCACTCAGCTTAACACAAGCAGCATGCACATACAGAACACACTGTGCTGATGTTCTCAGGTTAAGTTGCATTGTTGCATTGTTATGCTGCAGACAGGTGTTGCACATTGCTCCACATGACAAATATAGAGCCCTGCTCATTTCCTGCAACCTTTTGTTGAGCTGTATGTTCAGCTTGCCACCGTTATTTTTTTCCAGTTATGGTTCAGTTGGTTTCTCCCTCGTCTCTGATGTCAGAATGGTCGCGGATTCACGTCCCACTCCACTGTCTGGAGCATGAAGAAATCTCAGCTCTGTGTACAACCATATTGCATGGTCAGCCATGCTGTCAATTGTTTGAGATGTTAAATAAGTGCCATGTCTCCTCTCTCCTATGGATATGGAAGATCCTATTGCACTATTTAACGGGGTGCAGGGGAATTCTCCCAATATACTGGCTTGGTATTTGTTTCTGAACCAACATCAGGAAGAACAGAGGATCTGGTTATTTTTACAAATCTGGCTGTGGCATCCTATGCACAACTAAAGCCACATTTCCTGTGTTCCAGAAGTGGCTACACTGCGAATTACTTCATCGGCTCTTGTAAGCTTTGGGACATCTTGAGGCGTTGTGGAAAGCACTATTGAAATGCAAGTCTAATTTTCCTTTGATGTGCTGGTGTACCTCATGCAAACATACAAGCTGCAAAATGCGACAACTGCAACTTGCATTCATGTAGCACCTTTGAGATAGGAACGCACCGTTAGCCACAATCTGGCAATCTAAATTTGACACAGAATGACATCTGAACATGTCACCGCTGGTTTGTTTGAAGAAGTTGGTAATAAGCAGAGTTTCAAAGATTTAGATTTAGCTTTTATTGTCACATGTACTCAAGCAAGGAAGCACAGGAGTACAGTGGAAAATGTATAATGTCACTACTCATGGTGCCATTTTAGGGACCAAGGTACCTAGGGACAAGAAACTTTGGTACAAAGTAGTAAGAGAAACAGAGTTAAAAAGTTAAGCATTACTTTCATAGCGTACCTATAAAAAACAGAAATAAGGTAAAACTTCACATTAACGTCTTTCTTAATTTAAACTAGGAAAACAAAGGAATAAGTTAAACATTGAACGGTAAGAAAAACAAAGTTGCTGGAAAAGTTCAGCAGGTCTAGCAGTATCTGTGAAGGAGAAAACAAAGTTAACGTTTCCTCAGAACTGATGGTGGCTGGGAAAATGTCAGTTTATAAGCAGAAAGTAGGGAGTAAACGATAGGATAGAGCCCAAAGAGAGAGAAAGACAGTTTTGAACAGTTTTGGATGAGCCCTCCGCTTATCTCGATCTCCAGGAGACCTCAGCTGCCTGTTTGTGATGCCACTGACACAGATACTGTCGCTGCTACTGAAATGGCCGCCTCTCTGATTTCCCCCCGGTGCCTCGGGAACATGCCCAGGCAGGACACACTTGCTCACCGAGCCGAGACACCGCCACGGGGCAACGTGAAGAAACAACAAGAGGGGGAAAACACCAAAAACAGGGGAAGGACAAAGAGAAAAAAAAGGAAAAGAAGAGAAGGAACTGGATGGAGTAGAGGGAGAGAGGTGGAGAGTCAGAGTATGGAGGGAATTGCAGAGATAGGCAGCTGCAAGGAGAAATGACCCATGTGAGTGTTGACTGATTGGAGGAACAGGCTGGGGCTCCTAATGTCTCTGAATGGTCATTAGATCTGTGTTCCTTCATTATAATGAGTTACTGTCCAATTTCCTTCCGTGCTTCTTTGAAGGCCATGCTGCCTGCTGGGATATGATTCCACGGTGAGTCAGCCATTTTTAATTTTCAACACGGGCTGGCTATTCAACATTGGGGCAGCACAAAACAATAAAATCTTCACCCAACACTCCATTCCCTGAAGTCTGATTGGGAGTAGGAACGTGACAGAGGGGGATATAGGATACTGAAGAATCATTATAGAGCAGAAAAAAGCATGTCTGAACTGGTTCCCCGAATGTGCAGTTCACTTAGTGCCATCTTTCGTCCTTCTCCCTAGAATTTTTCATATGGCTCTGGATTCCCTTCTGATTGCTCCTCTCACTTCCACCACTGACTGTGGGCCTTACATTCCAGATACCAACAACTCATCGCATTATCAAGATTTTCTCCTGTTACTTCTGCTTTTGTCACACATTACTTTAAACTTGTGCCCTTTCGACATTGATTTTTTTTTGAGTGAGAACGGTTCCTCCCTGAGCGCTCTCTCCAGGTCCCTCAGGATTTTGAAAACCTCCATTGAATCTCCTCTCCCTCTAAGGAAAACGGCCGTAACTTCACCAATCCATCTTCTCAACTGAAGTTCCTCAACCATGGATTCTTGTAAATCTTTTTGGCGCTCTTTCCAAAGCCTTCACGTCCTTCCTAAGATGCAGTGCCCACATTTGACAGCAATCTGACAGCTGACGCTGAATGAGTGACTTATTTCCAAGATGGCGGTGCAGTAGCACGCTTCAGCCAGACTCTGTCTGCTCCACCTGTTCTTCCTCTTCTTTTCTTCTCTTTTCTTCCCCTTAGTGATTTTTCTCTTCTCCTCTGCCGGCCTCTGACCATTCCCCTCCTTTGGCATTGACTCCCGGCCTCCAACTACTGGAGACCTCCCACCCAGGCATAGCGGTCTCCCGTAGCGGCCTACTATCCTGGCATGGTGACTTCCCTACCTATTGGAGCGGCCTCTCAGCTTGGCACCCTCTTGGCTTG